GAACTTGATCCTGAAAATGAGGAATTTAGACTAAAAGATGAGAAGCAAGCCTAAAAAAGGAAATTGAAGCTAAAGAAGTGGAAAACAACCCCAGAAAGTTCATGAAATCAACCTCAAAAAGAAGGAAATGAAATGTAAAATGGAAGGTAGGAAATGGATCTCAAAATGAGGGAAATTAACTCCAAATGCTGGAGAAACACATCAAAATACTGGAAACAACCCTGAAAATGTGGGAATCAACCCCAAAAAGCTGGAAATACAACTCAAAAACCTAAGCAGCACCCCAAAAGCTGGAAAATCACCCCAAAACCTGAGAATTCTGCCCCCAAAAGGAGGAAAACAATCCCCAAAGCTGGAAATCAACACCAAAAAGAGGAAATCAAACTCATGAGCTGGAAATTAACCCAAAAAAGTGGAAAAGCACCCCAAAAAGCTGGAAAACACTACTAAAAATGGGAAAACACCACTAAAAAATGGGAAATCAACCTCAAAGTGCTGGAAATTGCCCCCAAGGTAGAAAAGAGTTTTAAAAAGCAGGAAATTGGCCCCAAAAAGCAGGAAAAGCACCCCAAAAAGCTGGAAATCGAGCCTAACATGATGGAAAACCACAATAAAAGTGAGAAGTTCAACCCAAAATTGGGAAATAACTGCAAAAGCTCCAAAACCAACCTCAAAAAGCTGGAAAATGACCAAAAAAAGCTGGAAAATGACCCCAAAAAGGATCCCAGAGACCCCCCAAGAGTCACAGCCCCCCCCCTCCCCCTCTCATGTCATTCCAATGAGCTCATTTATTGATTAAGAAAGAAATTAATTAAAAATTAACACTGGGGATGAAGATTTAGGGTCACAGCATGGGGAGGACACAAACCCTGAGTTTCCCCCCTATTACATTTTTAATTTAAAAGTGAATTAAACCCATTTACAAAAAAAAAAAAAAACCAGACAAAAATCTGTCATTCTCACCAGTTTTCCCTCCTAATTTCATTAATTTTTTTGTTAATTAACAAGCAGAACGAGGGTCCAGGGGGGGCATTTCAATCACAACCCTCCCCAAAAGTTAATTAACATGGGGTTAATTAACAAGCTGCCATTTGAGGAGGGGCCATATTTGGGGGTGCCACACACCCCCAGTCTCAGGCCATAATTAAACCCTCTGACTAATGAACCAGCCGTTAATTAACACCTTGTTAATGAAGGCCAACCCCCCCCCCCTTAATGACCCGACGCTCATTGACCCCAATCCGGGCCCCCCTCCCCCCCTTCCTGGGGGGATTTCAGGCTCTGACATCATTAATCACCACTAATTAAAGCTTAATTATGACCCAGTTTCCTTAATGAGGGCAGGCAGAGGAGCTGGGGAGGTTTTTTGGGGTTAAAACCTCACAAAAATCTCCATTTTTGGGAAAAAACCTCAATTTTCAGGGTGGGGGCAGCACCCAGAGCTGGGGGTCGTTAAGTCCCCCCCCCCCAGTGTTAATTAATTATTCAGCCCCCAATTATGAGATTAATTAGGGGGGGGTCAGCAATGCCACCCCTCTGCAAAGACACAAGAGAAAGTTAAACCAGCACAACCCCCCCAAAAAATGAAATGGGAAACCCCAAAATTGGGAAATTTAACCCCAAATTCTCACTGTGACCTTTGACCCCCCAACCAAAATGAGCGGGGGGGACCCAAAGCCCCCCTGGAGGGGGGTCCCAGCAGGGGGGGAGGGGCAAAACCCCCTCCCCAAAAAGATTTTTGGGGTCCCACGCTGGCAAAGCCCCACCTGCCCCCCTTAAAGGAGCTGGGGGCCCCAAAATCCCCCCAAAAAGGAAAAAATCCCCCCAAAAAGGGGAAAAATCCCATTTTTGAAGGAGAGGACAATTCCCAGCTCGTTAAATTGAGGGGTGGGTCAAGGCCTGACCCTCCCCTCCCCGAAATTCGGATTTTACAGCATTTTTGACTCATTTTACCCCCAAAAAATGGAGTTTTTTTGGGGGGGGGGAAATTTAGGGAGAGGCTGCCCGTGCCCCCCCCAATAGGAAATGCTACCACTGGGGAGAAAAGGCAGAATTTGGGGGGAATTAAAGCCAAACAAATGGATTTATCAAAAATCTGAATTCTCCAAAGAGATCTCTGTGGTTTTTTACCCATACCTGTGAAATTTTGGGGGTAAAAAAAGGAGGAAAAGCCCAACTCCCGACTGCCGCATGCACCAGGAGAGGGTAAAGGGGGGGGAAAAAAGGGAATTTTGGATGTTTAAAAACCCTGGATCCAAAGGCCGTGAAATGGAATTAAGCCCAAAAAAAAAGAAACAAAAAAAAAAAAAAAAGGATTTTTTTTGCTTACCCGGCTGTGGCTGTTCCCTCCCTTTGCTGAAGTAAAGCTTCCTAAGCTGCAAAAACGGGGCAAAACCATTGAAAATCGGGGAAAAAAATGGAGTTTTGGGGGTGTTTTCCCTCCCAAAATTCCTATTTTTTTTTTTTTTTGCTTTTCTTTTTTTGGCTGGTTTTGGTGTGTGTGAGGGAAGGGGGGTGAAGCCCAGTGGTAGCATTTCCCTGTCACGATAAATTCAAAGTTACCAAAAGTTCCAGGACATTCCCAAATTCCCCAAAACCCCCCCAAAATAAACCCACAAAAAAAAAAAAAAAAAAAAGAAAAAAAAATAAGGGGGGGAAAAGGGAACAGAGCAAACAAAAAAAAAATTCTGTAGAAAAAGGGGGGGGAAAAGAGCATTTTGTGGGTACTGGGGGTGGAAGGGGGGGGTTAAAAAAGGGATTTTGGGGAAAAAAAGGGATTTGGGGGGGTAAAAAATGGAATTTTAAGGGGGGCCCCACAGTGGGAGGGGCATCAACGGCAAGGCCTCGGCGCCATTTTAGAGCTGGGAAAAAAACAACCAAATTCGGGGGTTTTAAAGGAGATTTTAGGGAATTTTGAGGAATTTTTTGGGTTTTAAAAGGGGGGGGACACACAGACACAAGCGACAAAGAGAAACGCGTTAAACCCCCTTTTCCCCCACCAATTAAATGTTAAAATTCCCCCCAAAATTGGGATTTAACCCCGCCAAAATGAAGGAATTAAAAGAGGGGGGGTTAGGAAATCATCGGGGGGGTTGGAGCTGTAACAAAAACCCCAAAGCCGCGAAGGAATGAGGGGAAAAATTCCGAATTCGGGCAAAACAAAGAGCGGGCGCCATTTTGGGGCTGTCCAGGGAGAGGCTCTGAGGGGAAGGGGGGGGGGAAACGCTTTAAAGTGAATTTCTGAGGGGAAAAAATCCGAATTTGGGAAAAGCTCGGCCTGCCTAGCAACCTTTATTGCTAGATCGTCACCCCCCAAACCCCGATTTCAGCCGAACCCCAAAAACCTCAATTTTTTTACCCCTTCCCCCTCCCCACCCCGCGTTTCTCAGCGCAAAAAACAATCCTAAAATGGCACCTAAAAAATAAAAATAGGAAATAAATCAGCTTTTTTTTTTTGTTCCCTTTGGAAATTTCCAATCTCCCCCCTCCGCGCGTTTTTTTTCCTCCCTTTCCCCCCCCTCCAACCCTTTTTGATTTTTTTTTTCTATATTTTTTGCAATCTTTATGTACAGATTGCTCGCCGGGAATGCCCCGAAAATTCCCCAAATTCCGTTTCCCCCACCGCGCGATTTTTTCGGGTTTTTTTGCTTTTTTTTGGGGCCATTTTCCAGCTTTTTTAAGGAGGTTTTTTGGGGTTTTTTTTTTTGCGGGATTTTTTTTTTTTTTAACCGTGGGAGCTGCTCGTGGACCCCTCCTCCTCCGAAACCGCTTTTTTCTCCCGAAATCCCCCCAAAATTTCCATTTTCACCACCTTTTGGCACAGCCCACGTCCTCCTCAAGCACACGGGGGGCTCTTCCTCCCGCTAGTTTTGCTCTTTGTGACAAATAAATAACTTTTTAAAGGTTTTTTTTCTTGTATTTTTAAAGGGTTGGGGGGGAGCCTGCTGAAAATTCAACACTTACTATCCAATTTTTTTTCTCAGCCGACAGCGCTTCAAGGTTTGGATTTTGGCATTTGGAGGTGGTGTTAAAGCCAAAAAATTCGTTTGATTTTAATCATGGCTTTTAAAAAAACGCAGCAACTTTTTTTTTGCAGCTTGACGGGTATTTTGGTATTTTTAAAAGGTTTTTTTTTGTTTTCCTTGGGTTTTGTTTGTTTTTTAAAGCCCTAAAGGAGTGGATCGAGCTAAACCGGTCGAGCTAGAAACCAAAAAAAAAAAAATTAGTATTAAAAAAAAAAAGTTGCTTGGGTTTTTTTTTTTGCTCGAAAAAAAAAGTGGGTTTTGCCTTTGTTTTTTTGTTTTTTGGGGGGGAAAGAAGAGGGAAATATGTTTTTTAAAGTGGCAGTTTCCTTCGGGTTTGGAACGGCTTCCAAGGACGGTCCAAAGGACGGAGAGGCTGCGGCGGCTCTTCACGGCAAAGGGGGACAGAAAACCTGCTTTTTTCCTTCCCCTCTTTGGTGGATATATATTTTTTTGTTGTTTTGTTGGCGTTTTGTATTGTATTTTGTATTGTTTGTATTGGTTTTTCTCTCGTGGCAAAGGCGACGGCGTCTCTCAAGACCAACCAAACCTGGAGCGGGGAAAGGAGAAATAAAAGGGGAGGGGGAGGGGAAAGGTGGGGGATGGGCATAACGACAAAAAAAAAAAGGGGAAAAATTGAAAAAAAAAAAAAGAAATTAGAAGCGAAGAAGAAAAGACACGAAACGATTAGAAGCTGTTATCCCCGGGGAGAATTTAGAGCTTTAAAGGGGGAAAAAGGGGAAAAAAATAACGAGGAAACGCCCTTGGAAGGGGGGGGAGCTCAGCCCTGAGGGCGGCGGCGGCTTCGGAGGGGCTTCGGGACGGGGCAAGCCGCGTTTTTCCCCCAACAAACGAAGCTTGGCGTTACAAGAGCCCCCCTAAAGCCAAAAAAAACGGGGAAAACCCCCCCGCGCCCCTTCTCCGCCCGCAAAGCACCGGCCCAGCGCAGATTATTACTCACCTCCACCAGCCCTCAGAATGGCGGCCGCAGCGCCGGGCGCGGCCTTTTATACCGAGCCACGCCCCCGCCGCGCCGCGCCACGCCTCCCGCCCGTGGAGCCGCCCCACGGCGCCTGCGCGGGGCTCGCAGCGCGCACGCGCAAAGCCGCGCGCCGTTGGCCGCGGGCCGTGTGGCGCAGTTTTAATTCGGGGCAGGGTGGGCGGGAGCGGCGCTGCGCATGCGCGGCCGCCCTCAGGCGAAGGGGAGGGGCGGCCAAGATGGCGGCGCCCCGCCCCGCCGTGAGGGAGCGGCGCGGGGCGGGGCGGGGCGACGCGGGAGGGAAGATGGCGGCGGCCTGGGCGGCGGCGGCGGCGCTGCTGAGGGCGGCGGGCGGCGCCGGGAGGGCGCGGTGGGCTCAGGTGGGGCGGGGAGCGGCGGGAGGGGACGCGGGGGGGGTGCGGGAGGGGGAAGAAAAGCGGGAAGGGGGACGGGGGGGGGGAAGGGCAGCGCGCGCCACGTGCGGCGGGCGGGGCCAGTGACGTCACGGTGCGGCGGAGGGGGTTGGCTTCTGTGAGGGAGAGGGGGCGTGGTTTTCCCGTTAAGTGTTACGTCATCGCTGTGACGTCACGTCCTGCCGTTGCCTGCCTGTGTGACGTCATAGCGATCCTTCCCAGCCCCCCTCACCCTTATGAGGGGTGGGGTGGGGGGGAGCCCCGGGTGTGACGTCACCGCCCTGCCAGCAGCTGTGATGTCATCGCAGACTGCATTTGTGATGTCATCGCGGACCATGGCTGTGACGTCATAGCCCTGCCCGTGGCTGTGGCATCACTGTTGTGACTGCGGCTGTGATGTCATCACTTCCCGCGGCTGTGACGTCACCGCCCTGGCCGCAGTTATGACGTCAACACTGCCCGCGGCTGTGACGTCACCGCCCTGACCGCAGTTATGACGTCATCACTGCCCCCAGTGTGACGTCACCGCCCTGGCCGCAGTGATGACGTCATCACCCCTCCCCAGGCCCTCCCCCGCCTCTGCAGCAGCCGGGGCCCCCCCCGAGCCCCCCCCGGCCGCGCCCTCCCCGTACCTGGAGCGGCCCTGGGCGTACCTGGAGAGCGAAGGTGGGTGTGGGGGAGGGGAGGGGAGGGGGCCCTGGGGGTTGGGGGTCCCCAAAACCCCGGGAATTCACCCCAAACTGCCCCTCAGAGTACCGCGCGGCCTACGGGGACAGCCCGGTGTGGCACGGCTACCGGCGCAACCACAAGGGCTCCGTGCCGCCCCAGCGCGCCCGCAAGGCCTGCCTGGTGAGGGACTGGGGGCACTGGGGGGGACTGGGAGGGACTGGGGGGCACTGGGAGGGACTGGGAGGGAATTGGGGGGCACTGGGAAGGACTGGGAGCACTGGGAGGGTGCTGGGAGGGACTGGGAGGGACTGGGAGGGAATTGGGGGGCACTGGGAGCGTGCTGGGGGGGACTGGGAGGGACTGGGAGGGAATTGGGGGGCACTGGGAGGGACTGGGAGGGACTGGGAGGGAATTGGGGGGCACTGGGAGGGACTGGGAGGGAATTGGGGGGCACTGGGAGGGACTGGGAGGGAATTGGGGGGCACTGGGAGGGACTGGGAGGGACTGGGAGGGAATTGGGGGGCACTGGGAGGGACTGGGAGGGAATTGGGGGGCACTGGGAGGGACTGGGAGGGACTGGGAGCACTGGGAGGGACTGGGAGGGAATTGGGGGGGACTGGGGGCACTGGGAGGGAATTGGGGGGCACTGGGAGGGACTGGGAGGGAATTGGGGGGCACTGGGAGGGACTGGGAGGGAATTGGGGGGCACTGGGAGGGACTGGGAACACTGGGAGGGTGCTGGGAGGGACTGGGAGGGTGCTGGGAGACACTGGGATGTTTTGGGGGTTACTGGGACTGACTGGGGGGTTACTGGGATATTTGGGGGGTTACTGGGATATTTGGGGGGTTACTGGGATACTTGGGGGGTTACTGGGATACTTGGGGGGTTACTGGGATATTTGGGGGGTTACTGGGACTGACTGGGGCGTTACTGGGACTGACTGGGGGGTTACTGGGATATTTGGGGGGTTACTGGGATACTTGGGGGGTTACTGGGATATTTGGGGGGTTACTGGGACATTTGGGGGGTTACTGGGACTGACTGGGGGTTAGTGGGATACTTGGGGGGTTACTGGGATATTTGGGGGGTTACTGGGATATTTGGGGGGTTACTGGGACTGACTGGGGGGTTACTGGGATATTTGGGGGGTTACTGGGACTGACTGGGGGGTTACTGGGATATTTGGGGGGTCACTGGGACTGACTGGGGGGGTCACTGGGATATTTGGGGGGTTACTGGGATATTTGGGGGGTTACTGGGATATTTGGGGGGTTGCTGGGCTATTTGGGGGGGTTACTGGGACTGACTGGGGGGTTACTGGGATACTTGGGGGGTTACTGGGATACTTGGGGGGTTACTGGGATATTTGGGGGGTCACTGGTTCTGACTGGTTCTGACTGGTTGTGTCACCCCCCCAGCGCCGGGGCAGGCCCGTGGGGAACCCCTGTCCCCTGTGCCGGGACCGGAACCTGCTCGTGGATTTTCGGGTGAATTTACTCTCTTTTTATACCCATTTACTCTCTTTTTTTACCCAATTCATCTCTTTTTTTACCATTTCCCTCCTTTTTTTACCCAATTTCACCTCCTTCTCCCCCTGTTTCCCTCCCTCCAGAACGTGAAGCTGCTGGACCAGTTCATCTGCCCCCATTCCGGGGTCATCTTCCACCCCATCCACACAGGTGAGGGCACACCTGAGGGTGACCTTCGTGTCCTTGAGGTCACCTTCATGTCCTTGGGGTCACTTCTGTGTCCTCGGGGTCACCTCTGTGTCCTTGGGGTCACTTCTGTGTCCTCGGGGTCACCTCTGTGTCCTTGGGGTCACTTCTGTGTCCTTGGGGTCACCTTCACATTCTCGGGGTCACCCTCATGTCCTTGGGGTCACCTTCATGTCCTTGGGGTCACCTCTGTGTCCTTGGGGTCACTTCTGTGTCCTCGGGGTCACCTTCATGTCCTTGGGGTCACCCTCATGACCTTGGGGTCACCCTCGTGACCTTGGGGTCACCTGTGTCCTCGGGGTCACCTTCACATTCTCGGGGTCACCTTCATGAACTTGGGGTCACCTTCATGTCCCTGGGGTCACCTCTGTGTCCTTGGGGTCACCTCTGTGTCCTTGGTGAAGGTGACCCCAAGGTCATGAGGGTGACCCCGAGAATGTGAAGGTGACCCCAAGGACATAGTGGTGACCCCAAGGACATAGAGGTGACCCCAAGGACATAGAGGTGACCCCAAGATCATGAAGGTGACCCCAAGGACATGAAGTTGACCCCAAGATCATGAAGGTGACCCCAATGGCACAGAGGTGACCCCCAAGGTCATGAGGGTGACCCCGAGGATGTGAAGGTGACCTCGAGGACACGGAGGTGACCTCTGGGACACAAAGGTGACCCTGAGGACATAAAGCTGATCTCAGGGACACAGAGGTGACCCCAAGGTCACGGAGGTGACCCCCAGGAGATGAAGGTGGCCCTGAGCACACCTTTATGTCCCTGTTGTCACCTTTACGTCCCCGGTGTCCCCCGGGCTGTCCCTGACGGCGTTTCCCCTCAGGGATCTGCATGAAGCAGCACCGGCGCCTCTCCCAGGCCATCGCCCAGGCCCAGGCCCACGGTAAAACCCCAAACCTCCATTTTAACCCATCCCGCCCCTCCGCGCGCCCCCCAACCCCCAGCCCCCGCCCAGGGCTCCTGTGGCTGCAGGTGCCCTTCGTGCCCGTGCCCGACGAGGATTTCTCCAACCGGCACGCCGCCGTGGGCCGAACGCCGCCGGCGCCCGCGCTGAGGGAGCCGCGCCGCGCCTGGTACCCCTGGTACGAGCGGTGGCAGCCGCCCGCCGCCGAGCTGGCCCGCGTGCGCCGCCTGTACCGCGGCTTCCTCCGGGAGGAGCACCCCGACACCGCCCCGAGCCCCTCGGCGAAATAAAACGGGTGAAAATCCCCCAGAAATCGGCGTTTTTCTTTCGGGGAAACTGAGGCACTGGGCCAAGATGGCGGCTGGGCTGTCAAACAGCCAGCAGCGATTGGCTGATGGTTGCTAGGGGCGGGGCTTGGTTGCTAAGGGGAAAAAAATGTCAAACAACCAGCAGCGATTGGCTGGCGGTTGCTAAGGGCGGGACTCGGTTGCTAGAGGACTGTCAAAAAGCCAGCCGCGATTGGCTGGCGGTTGCTAAGGGCGGGAGTTGGTTGCTAAGGACTGGCGCGGCAGGGACAACGATTGGCTGGCGGTTGCTAAGGGCGGGACTCGGTTGCTAAAGACGGGCGCGGCAGGGACAACGATTGGCTGACGGTTGCTAAGGGCGGGATTCGGTTGCTAGGGGGCTGTCAAACAGCCAGCAGCGATTGGCTGGCGGTTGCTAAGGGCGGGAGTTGGTTGCTAAGGACGGCAGAACGCAGCGCACCGATTGGCCCGCCGTTTGGCGGGCCGGGCCGCGATTGGCTGATGCCCCTGCGGGGGGCGTGGCTCCGTTGCCGCCCGGGCGCGGCCGTGGCGGTGGCGGCGGCGGGGCCGGGCCCGGGGCTCGGGGCTCGGGGCTCGGGGCTCGGGGCTCGGCCATGGAGTTCCCTTTCGACCTGGCCCCGGTGCTGGGGCCCGAGCGCTTCTGCGTGGTGGATCAGCACCTGCGGCCCGCGGGGCGCGGCGGCGGCGGCGGCGGCGAGCGGTACCGGGGGAGGGAAGGGGGCGGGGCGGGCCCGCGGTTCTGATGGATTTTGTGAGGGGAAAGGGGTTCTGAGGGGATTTTGTGAGGGGAAAGGGGTTCTGAGGGGTTTCTCTGAGGGGAACGGGGCTCTGAGGGGATTTTGTGAGGGGAAAGGGGTTCTGATGGATTTTGTGAGGGGAAAGGGGTTCTGAGGGGATTTTGTGAGGGGAAAGGGGTTCTGAGGGGTTTCTGTGAGGGGAAAGGGGTTCTGAGGGGTTTCTGTGAGGGGAACGGGGCTCTGAGGGGATTTTGTGAGGGGAAAGGGGTTCTGAGGGGTTTCTGTGAGGGGAAAAACGGCTCTGAGGGGATTTTGTGAGGGATTTTATGAGGGGACAGCGATGCCCTCACGGCTCCTCTGGTGTCCCCCCGCAGGGAGCAGCAGCTGGAGCAGCGGCTGAGGACGGTGATCGATGAGCTGGGCAAGGCCTCGGCCAAGGTGGGGACACTGGGGACACTGGGGGGACACTGGGAGGTCAGAGGGGGGTCCAATGGGGAAATTTGGGGGTCCCAAGGAGAAATCTGGGGATCCCAGGGGGAATTAGGGGGTCCCAGAGGGAAATTAGGGGGATCCAGGGGGGGACTGGGGCGTCCCAGAGGTAACTGGGGGGTCCCAGGAGGGAAGTGGGGGGTCCCATGGGGAAATCTGGGGGTCTCAAGGGGAATTAGGGGGTTCCTGGGGGGGAATTGGGGGGTCCCAGAGAGAATTGGGGGGTCCCAAGGAGAAATTTGGGGGTCCCAGGGGAAATGTGGGGTCCCAAAGGGAAATTTTGTGGTCCCAGGGGGGAATTGGGGGGTCCCAAGGAGGAATTTGGGGTCCCAGGGGGAATGTGGGGGGTCCCAGGGGAAATTTGGGGTCCCATGGGGAATGTGGGGGGTCTAGGGGGACTTTGGGGGTCATGGGGGGTCCCGTGTCCCCCCAGGCAGGCCCAGGGCCTCTCCACGCCCGTGACCAGCGCGGCGCGGATGGAGAGCAACAGGCACGTGCTGTACATGCTGAGGGACACCCGGTGAGACCCCAAAACCACCCCAAAATCACCCCAAAACATCTCCAAAACAGCCCCAAAATATCCCCTAAATATCCCCAAAACATCCCCAAAAATATCCCCAAACCATCCCCAAAATATCCCCTAAATCACCCCAAACCACCCCGAAAAATATCCCCAAAATATCCCCTAAATCACCCCAAATTTCCCCCAAAATCCCCCCAAAATCCCCCAAATTTTCCCAAATTTCCCCACCCCGCAGGCCCCCCCGGGGCGCCGTGCTCGGGTTCCTCAAGGTCGGCTACAAGAAACTTTTCCTGCTGGTGAGAGGGGCTGGGCTTGGGGTTTTCTGGGGGGAATTTGGGGGATTTTGGGGTTTGGGGGGAATCTGGGGGTTTGGGGTGCAATTCTGGGAGGTTTGGGGTCTGAATCCGTGGGGTTTGGGGTTTGGAGGGATTTCGGGGTGAAATCTGGGGGGTTTGGGGGGGGAAATTTGGGGGGTTCGGGGCTGAAATTATGGGATTTTTGGGCTGGAATTTTGGGGTTTTTTTTGGGGATTTTTGGCCTGGAATTTTGGGAGTTTTGGGCTGGAAGTTTTGGGAATTTCAGGAATTTGGGAATTTCCAGGATCAGGACGGGTCCCACGTGGAGGTGGAGCCCCTCTGTGTCCTGGATTTTTACGTCCACGAGTCGCAGCAGCGCCGGGGACTGGGCCGGGAGCTCTTCCGGGAGATGCTGCAGGTCTGGGGAAAAACGACGGGAATTTGGGAAAAATAATGGGATTTTTGGGGAAAAACGACAGGAATTTGGGAAAAAAAAAATCACAGGAACTTGGGGAAAACAACGGGAATCTGGGGAGGAAAAATGGAAATTTTGGGGAAAATCACAGGAATTTTTGGGAAAATAATGGGAATTTTGGGGAAAAGCATTGAATGAAAGGGGAGAAACATTAATTAGGGGTAATTAGAGGTAGATTTGGATTTAAATGGGTAAAACGTTAATTTAAATGGGATAAACGTTAATTGTAAGGGGAGAAAGATTAATGAGGAGGTAGTTGGGGGGTAATTAGGGGTAAATGTGGATTTAAATGGGGAAAACCTCAATTTAAATGGGAGAAACATTAATGACAGGGTAATTGGGGGGTAATTCAGGAGTAATTTGGGGTAAGTGTGGATTTAAATGGGGAAAACCTCAATTTAAATGGGAGAAACATTAATGACAGGGTAATTGGGGGGTAATTCAGGAGTAATTTGGGGTAAGTGTGGATTTAAATGGGGAAAACCTCAATTTAAATGGGAGCTACATTAATGAGGGGGTAATTGGGGGGTAATTCAGGAGTAATTTGGGGTAAGTGTGGATTTAAATGGGGAAAACCTTAATTTAAATGGGAGAAACATTAATGAGGGGGTAATTCAGGGGTAATTCGGGGCAAATGTGGATTTAAATGGGGAAAACCTTAATTTAAATGGGAGAAACATTAATGAGGTGGTAATTGGGGGGTAGTTCAGGGGTAATTTGGGGTAAATGTGGATTTAAATGGGGAAAACCTTAATTTAAATGGGAGAAACATTAATGAGGGGGTAATTGGGGGGTAATCCAGGGGTAATTCGGGGTAAATGTGGATTTAAATGGGGAAAACCTCAATTTAAATGGGAGAAACATTAATGAGGGGGTAATTGGGGGGTAATTCAGGAGTAATTCGGGGCAAATGTGGATTTAAATGGGGAAAAATGAATTTAAATGGGACAAACGCTAATGTAAAGGGGGCAAACGTTAATTTAAGTGGGTAAAAGGCTGACTGAAAGGGATGAAGCATTATGAGGGGTAATTAGGGGTAATGAGGGTAATTAACGAGGGGTGCCCGCAGCGGGAGCGCATGGCCCCGCAGCGCCTGGCCGTGGACCGGCCCTCGCCCAAGCTGCTCGGCTTCCTGGACAAGCACTTCGGGCTCTGCCGGCCCATCCCGCAGGTGGGGTTAATGTTTTATAGCTTATATTTCATATTTTATATCCTATATTTGTATTTTATATTGTACAGTTTGGATTTTATATTGTACAGTTTGTATTTTATGGTTTTTATTTCATCTTTCGGCCTCTGCCGGCCCACCCCCCAGGTGGGGTTTAATATTTTAGATGTTATTTTTTACATCTTATAGTTTATTTTTTATATATTATATTTTATATTCTATATTTATAGTTTGTATTTTATATTGTACAGTTTGTATTTTATATTGTGCAGTTTGTATTTTATAGTTTTTATTTCATCTTTCGGCCTCTGCCGGCCCATCCCCCAGGTGGGGTTTAATATTTTATATCTTATACTTTATATTTTATATTTTATATTTATAGTGTGTATTTTATACTGTATAGTTTGTGTTTTGTATTGTACAGTTTGTATTTTATATTGTATAGTTTATATTTTATAGTTTTTATTTCATCTTTCGGCCTCTGCCGGCCCATCCCCTAGGTGGGGTTTAATATTTTATATCTTATATTTTATTTTTTATATCTTATAGCTTATATTTTATATTCTATATTTATAGTTTGTATTTTATATTGTACAGTTTGTATTTTATATTGTATAGTTTATATTTTATAGTTTTTATTTCATCTTTAGGCCTCTGCCGGCCCATCCCCCAGGTGGGCAGCAAGGGAGAGGTTTAGTTTATGGTTTAGAGTTTAATTTTATTTCGTAGTTTTATTTTATTTTATTTTCTTCATTTCGTTGTTATTTATTAGTGTAAATACAATTCAGGGAATCAAACTCCAAGAATTCCCTGAAATTTTTCATTTTCAGGTGAACAATTTTGTCATTTTTGAGGGATTTTTCTCCACCAGAACAGGTGAGTTTGGGCTGGTTTTTGGGTGGATTTGGCTGAATTCGGGTGAATTTGGGGCTGGCTCAATTTGGGGTGGTTTGGGCTGAATTTGGGGTGGATTTGGCTAATTTTGGGGTTGATTTTGGGTGAATTTGGTGTGGGTTTGGGTGAATTTGGGGTGGGTTTGGTAGAATTTGGGGTGGGTTTGGGCTGATTTGGGGTGGGTTTGGGTGAGTTTGGGGTGGGTTTGGTTGGATTTGGGTGGGTTTGGGTGGATTTGGGTTAATTTGGGTGGATTTGGGTTAATTGGGGTGGGTTTGGGTGAATTTGGGTGGATTTGGGGTGGATTTGGGTTAATTTGGGTGAATTTCGGGTAGGTTTGGTTGGATTTGGGTGGGTTTGGGTTAAGTTGGGTGGATTTGGGGTGAATTTGCTGTGGGTTTGGGCGGATTTGGGTTAATTTGGGTGGATTTGGGGTGGATTTGGGTTAATTTGGGTAGATTTCAGGTGGGTTTGGGTGGATTTGGGTTAATCTGGGTGGATTTCGGGTGGGTTTGGGGTGGATTTGGGTTAATTTGCGTGGATTTGGGGTGGATTTGGGTTAATCTGGGTGGATTTCAGGTGGGTTTGGGCTGATTTGGGTTAATTTGGGTGGGTTTGGGTAGATTTGGGGTGGATTTGGGTTAATTAAGGTGGATTTGGAATGGGTTTGGGTTAATTGGGGTGGATTTGGGGTGGATTTGGGCTGATTTGGGTTAATTTGGGTGCATTTCGTGCCCCCCAGCCCCTGCCCGGCGCCCATTCCCGCGGCCGCGCCCGGAGGAGCCGATCAAACCGTACTCGCTGAGCGAGCGCGACTGTGAGCGCGGGCGGGGCCGGGGGCGGGGCCGGGGGCGGGGCCGGTGGGTGTGGTCAGGGGGTGTGGTCAGAGGGTGTGGCCAGTGGGTGTGGTCATTGGGTGTGGTCATTGGTGTGGTCAGAGGGTGTGGTCAGAGGGTGTGGTCAGCGGGGCGTGGTCATTGGTGTGACCCTGGGTGTGGTCAGTGGGTGTGCCCCATGGGTGTGTCCCTGGGTGTGGCCAAAGGGCGTGCCCCTGGCCACACCCAGTGGGCGTGTCCCCCTCTGGCCCCGCCCCTGAGGCCCCGCCCCGCCCCCCAGTCCTGCGGGAGGAGCTGGAGCCGCCCTGGCCCTTCAACCTGTCCCGGGGGTCGCCGGTGCGGGGCAGCCTCCGGCCCTTCCTGCCCCGCCGCGACCCCACCGCGGCCCCCGCCCCCGAGCCGCCGCCGCGCCGCGCCAGGTACCGCGCCTGGCACACCTGGGGGGCACCTGGGGGCACCTGGGGGCACCTGGGGGATACCTGGGGGGGAGTTGGGGGTACCTGGGCACACCTGGGAGCACCTGGGGGGAGCTGGGGGGCACCTGGGGGTACCTGGGGGGGAGCTGGGGGTACCTGGGAGCAACTGGGGGGGAGCTGGGGGCACCTGGGCACACCTGGGGGCACCTGGGGGTAGCTGAGGGCACCTGGGGGATACCTGGGGGACATCTGGAGGTAGGTGAGGGCACCTGAGGGGTACCTGGGCACACCTGGGGACACCTGGGGGGTACCTTGGGGTACCTGGGGGTACCTGGGGGGCAGCTGGGAGCACCTGGGGTCAGCCGGAGTCACCTGGGGTCACTTTGGGCTGGGGGTTGGGTTTGGTTCGGGCTTATTTTGGGGTTGGTTTGGGATCGGTTTTGGGTTTGGGTTGTCTCAATTTAGGATGGGTTTTGGGCTCAGTTTCAGGGATTTTGGGCTCAGTTTCGGGGATTTTGGGCTCAGTTTCGGGGATTTTGGGCTCCGTTTTAGGCTCGGTCTGAGGTGTTTCCCCTCCCCCCACAGCTCCCTGGGCCGTGTCGGCCGCTGAGCTCCCCCTGCCCCTCCCCCGTCCGGCCACTGACCCCCAACTCCGGCCACTGACCCCCAACTCCGGCCACGGACCCCTCATGGCCACTGACCCTCTGTGGCCACTGACCCCCAACTCCGGCCACGGACCCCTCATGGCCACTGACCCCCAACTCCGGCCACTGACCCTCTGTGGCCACTGACCCCCAACTCCGGCCACTGACCCCCAACTCCGGCCACTGACCCCCAACTCTGGCCACTGACCCCCAACTCCGGCCACTGACCCCCAACTCCGGCCACTGACCCCTCATGGCCACTGACCCCCAACTCCGGCCACTGACCCCTCATGGCCACTGACCCCCAAGTCCGGCCGGGCCAGCGCCCCATGGACTCGACTGGAACCAGTTCCTGCCCCACTGGAAATCCCAACTGGAACCAGTCCCTGCCCCATAACCCAACTGGGACCGGTTCCCGCCCCGCGGATGCCCCTCCCCCCGCCCGGCCCCGGGGGGCGCCTCCCCCTCCCCTCCGCTCCCGTTTTTGGGGACATTTCAATAAAATCGGCGATTCTGACCTGTGGCGTCCATTCCGTCCGTGGGCGTGGCTTAGCTACAACCCCGCCCATATATGGTCATGGCCCCGCCCCCTTGCGTGGGCACCGCGCTTCCTATTGGCTGGCGCCTCCTGGCTCCGCCCCTCCGCTCCTTCTTGAATGAACGGCGGGTGGGCGGGAAGAACGCGGGGCCAGCGCGCATGCGCAGCCGGCTGCGGGTCACCTTCTGGCGCTCGGCGCATGCGCAGAGCCGGTGTCGGGGGGTGAAGCGCGCGCGGCCCGCGCAGGCGCGCTGCGAGCGGCGGCGTGAGGGGGAAGAGAGGAGGAGGCGGCGGCGCCGCCGGGGACGAGCGGGGCAGCAGCGGGGACAGCGCCGCCAGCGCCGCCATGTACCGGCACGTCACCGCCGCCGTCACCGCCCGCCTCCGGCCCGGCCGCGCCTGGGCCCCAGCAGCGAGCGCAGCGCCCGGGGCGGCCCCGCCGCGCCGCCGCTACCGAGCGCGGCCGCAGGTGAGGACAGCGCTGAGGGGAGCGGGGAGAGGGGCGGGGCTATGCAAATAGCGCCGCAGAGTGGGCGGGGGGATGCAAATGGAGCGCTGGTGGGGCGGGGTTATGTAAATAGCGGTGTGGGTTCGGGGTTATGTAAATAGCGGGCGTTGGGTGGGCGGGGACATGCAAATAGAGATGCGCGGGGAGAGCCGAGGCGGGGCGGGGTTATGCAAATGAAAGGCCTTAAATAGTTTCGTTTTGCCGGCGGGAGGGCGTGGTTATGTAAATCACACAGCGCTTTCGGTTTATTCCTGGGGGCGTGGTTATGCAAATCGAAGTATATCCTTATTTGGGGCGGGGCTTCCGCCTGGGGGCGGAGCCGGAGGTCGCTGGTGGGACCCAAATGGGGCAAATCCCCCAAAAATGGGGCAAATCCTCCAAAAATGGGACAAATCCCCCAAAAATGGGGCAAATCCTCCGAAAATGGGACAAATCCCCCAAAAATGGGGCAAATCCCCCCAAAATGGGGCAAATCCCCCAAAACGGGGCAAATCCTCCCAAAATCGATAAAAACCTCATTTTGCATGGGGGTAAATCCCCCCAAAATCGGTAAACCCCCCCCTTTCCCACGGGACAACCCCCCCCTGCAATGACCCCCGGCCCCCTCCCCAAATTCCGCTTTTCTCGCCCCATTTCCAGGGCCTGGAGCCCCCGCTGGGGCTGTCCCTGCTGCCCGCCCCGCGCTGCCCCCCGGCCCGGGGGCTGGAGGGGCTCGGGGGCCCGGTGACCACGGTGGACGGACGGCGCGAGGACGACATCGACGTCCGGGACCCCCCCCGGCTGCTGGCGGGACCCCCGGGACCCCCCCCGGGCACCCCCGGGACCCCCCCGGGCCGCCGGGGCAGCCCCCCGCCCTCCATGGAGGAGCACCTGGCCACAATGCACGAGAGGCTGCGGCACGAGGTGGCACCGGGGGACATTGGGGACACGGGGGGACATGGGGGACACGGGGGGACATTGGGGACACGGGGGGACATTGGGGACACGGGGGGACATGGGGGACACGGGGGGATGTGGAGGGAGGGGGGACGAAATGGGGAGGGGGTGACAAAACTGTGGGGGATTGACAGGAAAAGGGGGTGGGACAGGACTGGGGAGGTGACAGCGGCCAGGGGGAGGTGACAGTGGCCCTGTCCCCACCCCGGTGACCCTCCCGTGACCCCTGTCCCCCCCCCCCCCCCCAGCTCCCCAATTTCTTCCTGAAGATCCCCGACTACGCCCTGTACGCCCCCGACGTGGAGTTCCAGTGCCAACACCTGAACCTGCACACGCGGTGGGTGACAGCGGGGACAGGACACTGGGGACACTGGGGACACCGGGGACAGGCCTGGGACAGCCCTGGGGACAGGCCTGGGGGCACTGGGGGCACTGGGGACAGCCCTGGGACAGCCCTGGCCGTGCAGCGTGGCCCTGGGGAGGTGACAGGGTGGCACAGGGAGGTGACAGTGGGTGGCAGTGGCAGTGGCAGTGGCACAGGGATGTGACAGTGGGTGACAGTGACGGTGCCAGGGTGTCACAGGGAGGTGACAGTGGGTGACGGTGGCAGTGGCAGGGCGGCACAGGGCAGTGACAGGGTGGCACAGGGCGGTGACAGTGTCACAGGGAGGTGACAGGGTGGCACAGGGATGTGACAGTGGGTGGCAGTGACAGTGGGTGACAGGGTGTCACAGGGAGGTGACAGTGGGTGACGGTGACAGGGTGTCACAGGGCAGTGGCAGGGTGTCACAGGGAGGTGACAGTGGGTGACAGTGGGTGACAGTGGGTGACAGTGGCAGTGACAGTGTCACAGGGAGGTGACAGCGCTGTCCCCGTGCCCCAGGGGCCGCGCCATGTACGCGCTGGCGCTGGCGCTGTGCCGGGCTCTGGCCTGGGGGTACTTTGCCAGCCTGAGGCTGGAGGTGCTGGCGCTGACGCGGCACCCCGAGGACTGGAGCCTGCGGGCGCGCTGGCGCCTGACGGGGCTGCCGCTGCACCTGCTGCTGCTGCGCTGGTACCGGCGGGACAAACGGACCCTGCTCAGGTGAGGGGCACACCTGGGGCACCCCCAAACACACCTGGGGCACCCCCTGCCATCCCTGTGCCACCCTGTGCCACCCCCTGCCATCCCTGTGCCACCCTGTGCCACCCCCTGCCACCCCCGTGTCACCCCCGTGTCACTTCCCCTGCACCTGCTGCTGCTGCGCTGGTACCGGCGGGACAAACACACCCTGCTCAGGTGAGGGGCGCACCTGGGGCACACCTGTGCCACCCTGTGCCATCCTTGTGCCACCCCCGTGTCACCCCTGTGCCACCCCCGTGTCACCCCCAGACACACCTGTGTCAACTGAGCCACACCTGTGCCACCCCCATGCACACCTGTGCCACCCCCAGACACACCTGTGCCACACCCATGCCACCCCCGTGTCACCCCCAGACACACCTGTGCCACCCCCATGCACACCCGTGCCACACCTGTGCCACATCCGTGTCCCCCCAGGTCCTACGACGCCTTCTCCACCTTCTTCCTCAACTCGCAGGGGCTCATCCGCTGCCACCGCGTGGACAAGGTGAGCGGGGCACACCTGGGCACACCTGGGATACACCTGGGCACACCTGGGTGTACCTGGGATACACCTGGGCACACCTGGGCACACCTGGGATACACCTGGGCGTACCTGGGCATACCTGGGCACACCTGGGTGTACCTGGGGCGCACCTGGGTGTACCTGGGCACACCTGGGATACACCTGGGCACACCTGGGTGTACCTGGGTGTACCTGGGCACACCTGGGGCACACCTGGGCACACCTGGGATACACCTGGGTGTACCTGGGCACACCTGGGCGCACCTGGGCACACCTGGGGGTACCTGGGTGTACCTGGGCGTACCTGGGGCACACCTGGGCACACCTGGGTGTACCTGGGCACACCTGGGTGTACCTGGGCACACCTGGGCACACCTGGGCACACCTGGGTGCCGCCCCCGGTGCCCCCTGACCCCGTGTCCCCCCACAGCTGATGCCAGCCCCCACGGCCGTCCCCGAGCCCAAGAAGCTGCTGGTGGCCGCGGCGCTGGCCGTGGCGCTGGCCCGGCCCTGATGCCACCCGGGTGACACCTGAGCCACCGAGGGCACACCTGAGGGCACACCTGAGCGCCCCTCCCCCACCTCGGCCTGTCCCCTCCCCCCTTAACTTAATGTACAGAATAAAGGAGCGGCGGTGACACGCGACAACACGCGGTGACACGCGGTGACACGTGTATTGGGGTGTCCCAGGTGTCCCCCAGGTGTCCCCCAGGTGTCCCCAGGTGTCCCCCAGGTGTCCCCCAGGTGTCCCCGGGCTCAGCCCAGCTCCTCCCGCGATTTTCCGGCTTTTTTGGGCATTTTGCGGCCGCTGCCGTCCTCGAGCTCCTTGGCCTGGTAATAGTGGGGGGCCACCTCCAGCAGCCAGGAGCTGTCGATCTCCAGCACCTGGGGACAGGTGGGGACACGCCTGTCACACGCTGTGACACACCTGTCACACACCTGTGACACACCTGTCACACACCTGGGGACGAGGACACCTCCACAGCGCGTCCCCACCTGCCTCACGATCTCCTTGGAGGTGCACACCTGCACACAGCGTGTCCCCGTACCCACACCGTGTCCCCAAGGTGTCCCCAAGGTGTCCCCAAGGTGTCCTGAGGTGTCCCCAGGTGTCCCCAGGGTGTCCCCAGGTGTCCCCAGGTGTCCCAGGTGCCCCACCTGCCTCATGAACTCCTTGGAGGTGCACACCAGCTCGTGGTAGAGCACCCAGCGGGGCTGGAGGGCGAACAAGGCGCTGTTGGGGTGGATGAACACGGGCTGCTGGTGCTTCACCGTGCGGTACCCGCCCCGCGCCAGCCGCGCCGTGTGGTAAAAGAACCCGGCGGTGATGGCCTGGGGGGCACAGGGAGTTACTGGGATGGACTGGGATAAACTGGGAGGGACTGGGATGGACTGGGATGGACTGGGATGGACTGGGAGGGACTGGGATAAACTGGGAGGGACTGGGACACACTGGGATCGGTACCCGCCCCGCGCCAACCGCGCCGTGTGGTAGAAGAACCCGGCGGTGATGGCCTGGGGGGACACAGGGAGTTACTGGGATATACTGGGATGGGACTGGGAGGGACTGGGATAAACTGGGATGGACTGGGATAAACTGGGAGGGACTGGGATAAACTGGGAGGCACTGGGAGGGACTGGGATGGACTGGGATGGACTGGGATAGGATATTTTGGTGATATTCTGGGGCTATTTCGGGATATTTCGGGATATTTTGGGCAATATTTTGGGGATATTTTGGGGGATATTTTGGGCAATATTTTGGGGATATTTTGGGGATATTTTGGGGTTATTTCGGGGATATTCGGGGATATTTGGGGCTGACCTTGCGCACCAGGTCCAGGTTGCCCCCGCAGGAGGACGGGGCTGAGGTGTGAGTTGGGGGATATTTGGGGGATATTTTGGGGATATTTTGGGGACATTTCGGGGATATTTGGGGATATTTGGGGCTGACCTTGCGCACCAGGTCCAGGTTGCCCCTGCGGGAGGACGGGGCTGAGGTGTGAGTTGGGGGATATTTTGGGGGATATTTTGGGGGATATTTTGGGGACATTTCGGGGATATTTCGGGGACATTTCGGGGATATTTGGGGTGTATCTGGGGCTGACCTTGCGCACCAGGTCCAGGTTGCCCCCGCAGGAGGACGGGGCTGAGGTGTGAGTTGGGGGATATTTTGGGGATATTTTGGGGTTATTTGGGGGATATTTGGGGGATATTTTGGGGGATATTTTGGGGACATTTTGGGGACATTTCGGGGATATTTGGGGTGTATTTGGGGCTGACCTTGCGCACCAGGTCCAGGTTGCCCCCGCAGGAGGACGGGGCGATCTCCACGCGCTCCATCAGCCCCTGCAGCTGCTCGCGCACGTCGCGGGCGCGGCGCAGGGAACGCGCCTGCACAAAGTGCTCGTAGCACCACTGCAGCGAGTGCCCGCTGGCCACCCACTGCCACCACCACGGGGACATCGGGGGGACATTGGGGACATCGGGGACAGAGGGGACATCGGGGACAGAGGGGACATCGGGGACATTGGGGACAGAGGGGACATTGGGGGGACACAGCCGCACACAGAGGACACACAAGGGGACACAAGAAGGGACACGAAGGTCAGCGCTGCTGCTGCTGCTGCTGCTGGACGTGTCCCCAGCCCCAGCGTGTCCCCAAGGTCCCCAATTTCTCCATGTCTCACACGTCCCTCTTGTCCCCCATGTCCCCAATGTCCTCAACCCCTTCCGTGGTGTCCCTGATGTCCCCAATGTCCCCGATGTCCCCGATGTCCCCAATGTCCCCAATGTCCCCCCAATCACCCAAAATGTCCCCAGTCCCCCAAAATGTCCCCAATGTCCCCAATGTCCCCAATGTCCCCAATGTCCCTGATATCCCCAAATGTCCCCAACATCCCCAATGTCCCCAATGTCCCCAATGTCCCCGATGTCCCCGATGTCCCCAATGTCCCCAATGTCCCCCCAATCACCCAAAATGTCCCCAGTCCCCCAAAATGTCCCCAATGTCCCCAATGTCCCCAATGTCCCCAATGTCCCTGATATCCCCAAATGTCCCCAACATCCCCAATGTCCCCAATGTCCCCAATGTCCCCGCTGTCCCTGATGTCCCCCCAATCACCCAAAATGTCCCCAATGTCCCCTGTGTCCCCGATGTCCCCAATGTCCCCAATGTCCCTGATATCCCCAAATGTCCCCAACATCCCCAATGTCCCTAATGTCGCCAATGTCCCCCAAATGTCCCCAACGCCCCCAACGCCCCCAATGTCCCCAGGTCCCCGCTGTCCCCTCTGTCCCCAATGTCCCCGTGTCCCCGTGTCCCCGTGTCCGTACCTGGTTGTAGACGTTGAGCAGCACCAGGTGGTCCCCGCCGGGCACCCCGAAGGCCACGCGGGCGCTGTCGGCGTGCAGCACCTTGTCCTTGGGCCGGTAGAACACGGCGTTGTTCACCGAGAGCATGGCGGCCACCGTCAGCACCTCCTCCGTGCAGCCGTACCTGCGGGACAGCGGGGGACACTGAGGGGATTGGGGACATTGGGGACATTGGGGACATTGGGGACATTGGGGACATTGGGGGGATTGGGGACATTGGGGGACATTGGGGACATTGGGGACATTGGGGACATTGAGGGGACATTGGGGACATTGGGGACATCGGGGACATTGGGGACACTGAGGGGACATTGGGGACACTGGGGACATTGGGGACACTGAGGGGACACTGGGGACACTGGGGACACTGAGGGGACATTGGGGACATTTGGGACACTGAGGGGACATCGGGGACATTTGGGGACATCGGGGACACTGGGGACATTGGGGACATTGGGGGGATTGGGGGACACTGGGGACACTGGGGACATTGGGGACATTGGGGGGATTGGGGGACACTGGGGACACTGGGGACATTGGGGACATGGCGGCCACCGTCAGCACCTCCTCCGTGCAGCCGTACCTGCAGGGGGACAGCGGGGACACTGAGGGGACATTGGGGACAGTGAGGGGACATTGGGGACACTTTGGGGACACTGGGGGGACATTGGGGACATTGGGGACATTGGGGGCGTTGGGGACATTGGGGACATTGGGGACATTGGGGACATCGGGGACATTGGGGACATTGGGGACACTCTGGGGACACCCTGGGGACACCCTGGGGACACTCTGGGGACACCCTGGGGACACTTTGGGGACACGGCTGTCACTCACTGCTCGCTCGCCAGGATCATCTTGGCCAACATCGGCTCCACCGGCAGCTCCGCCATGCGCCGGCCCAGCTGGGACAGGGAGGGGACAGGGAGGGGACAGCGGTGACACGGGGCCAGCCCAGTGCTCCCAGTGCCCCCCAGTGCTCCCAGTGCATCCCAGTCCCTCCCAGTCCATCCCAGTCCCCCCCAATCCCCTCCCAGTCCCTCCCAGTCACCCCCAGTCCCCCCCAGTCCCTCCCAGTCCCTCCCAGTCTCTCCCAGTCCCCCCCAATCCCCTCCCAGTCCCTCCCAGTCCCTCCCAGTGCCCCCCAGTCCATCCCAGTCCCTCCCAGTCCCTCCCAGTCCCTCCCAGTCCCTCCCAGTGCTCCCAGTACCGTGGTCAGCTCCCCCAGGTGGTTCAGCGCCCCGAGGGCGTAGAGCTGCTCCAGCGCCAGAACGAGCGTCTCGTGGGGGGGCGGGTCCAGGAAGTCAAAGTGGATCAGGTCATTGATACCTGGGGACAGACGTGTCACCTGTGTCACCTGTGTCACCTCTGTGTCACCTCAGTCACCCCAATGTCACCTGTGTGTCACCTGTGTGTCACCTGTGTCACCTGTGTGTCACCTGTGTGTCACCTGCGTGTCACCTGTGTCACCCCAATGTCACCTGTGTCATCCCAGTGTCACCCCAATGTCACCTGTGTCACCTCTGTGTCACCTGTGTGTCACCTGTGTCACCTGTGTCATCCCAGTGTCACCTGTGTGTCACCTGTGTCACCCCAATGTCACCTGTGCCACCCCAGTGTCACCCCAATGTCACCAAGGTGTGTCCCAGTTTATCCCAGTTTATCCCAGTCCATCCCAGTACCCAACCAGGCTCTTGAGCAGCAGCACCAGCGCTCCCAGGTGTGTCCCAGTCCCTCCCAGTTTATCCCAGTTTATCCCAGTGCCCACCCAGGCTCTTGAGCAGCAGCACCAGCGCTCCCAGGTGTGTCCCAGTTTATCCCAGTCCCTCCCAGTTTATCCCAGTGCTCCCAGTACCCACCCAGGCTCTTGAGCAGCAGCACCAGCGCTCCCAGGTGTGTCCCAGTCCCTCCCAGTCCCTCCCAGTTTATCCCAGTCCATCCCAGTGCCCACCCAGGCTCTTGAGCAGCAGCACCAGCGCTCCCAGGTGTGTCCCAGTCCCTCCCAGTCCATCCCAGTCCATCCCAGTGCCCACCCAGGCTCTTGAGCAGCAGCACCAGCACTCCCAGGTGTGTCCCAGTCCCTCCCAGTCCCTCCCAGTTTATCCCAGTCCATCCCAGTGCCCACCCAGGCTCTTGAGCAGCAGCACCAGCGTTCCCAGGTGTGTCCCAGTCCCTCCCAGTTTATCCCAGTCCATCCCAGTCCATCCCAGTGCCCACCCAGGCTCTTGAGCAGCAGCACCAGCGCTCCCAGGTCGGCTCTCTGGATCTCG